TATATATATCCCCTCTGCATTCTCTCAAAATGGTTGATATGTGAACATGAAGGGTAATGCTTGAAGAGATTTGCCCCAAGCAAAATCTTGTGGCATATTTGTGTAATGATCCTCGTGTTTCTACTCTCAGGTGCATTTCTGATTCCCTACGTCCTGTTTCTGCTTGCTTGTGGCATCCCAATGTTCCTCCTGGAAACAGCCATGGGACAGTTCACATCTCAGGGATGTATTACCTGCTGGAGGCACTTCTGCCCCTTGTTTGAAGGTCAGTGTATAAAAAAAGCTGAAATATGTAAGTGTGAGTTGATACTGTGTGAAAACATGCCCTCTTTACCAACAGTTGAATTGTCCTTTAGTTTCACATAAAAAAATACACATTACCTTTTGGGAATTGCATGTGAAATAAATTTACGTGAAAAACAATAACTCAAATAATAGGTTTTATTTTTTGGAGTGATGTATGGTTATGTATGAAACCATGAAGTAAGTCCTCTGAGCACAAAAAAGTTTTGTAGCTTTACTTAACTTTGTTCAGAGCACAAGTGTGAGTAATGTGTTGTATCTTACAGTGTCGAGACTGTCGTGCTGTCTCACCTACTGCACTGGTTCATGTGTGTTCTTTGACAGATCTGGCTTATCTGACTGACACAGAACATTTCCTTGAGAAAAAAACATCAAGGTCAAGATTATTCAGAGATTCAGAGAATTGCAAAATAACTTGTTGACTTAAGAAAAAAGAAATCAGTTATGTTCACTGCCAAAAAGAAAAGCTTCTCTTGTCTGTCCCCAGCACATACAGTGCAAAAGTATTCGCCCCCCTTGAACTTTCCCACATTTTGTCACATTACAGCCACAAACATGAATCAATTTCATTGGAATTCCACGTGAAAGACCAATACAAAGTGGTGTACACGTGAGAAGTGGAACGACAATCATACATGATTCCAAACATTTTTTACAAATAAATAACTGCAAAGTGGGGTGTGCGTAATTATTCAGCCCCCTTTGATCTGAGTGCAGTCAGTTGCCCATAGACATTGCCTGATGAGTGCTAATGACTAAATAGAGTCTGTGTGTAATCTAATGTCAGTACAAATACAGCTGCTCTGTGACAGCCTCAGAGGTTGTCTAAGAGAATACACCATGAAGTCCAAAGAACACACCAGACAGGTCAGGGATAAAGTTATTGAGAAATTTAAAGCAGGCTTAGGCTACAAAAAGATTTCCCAAGCCTTGAACATCCCACAGAGCACTGTTCAAGCGATCATTTAGAAATGGAAGGAGTATGGCACAACTGTAAACCTACCAAGACAAGGCCGTCCACCTAGGAAGAAAACCTCTTGGAGTCTGCAAAAGACTTGAGACTGGGGCGGAGGTTCACCTTCCAGCAGGACAACGACCCTAAACATAAAGCCAGGGCATCAATGGAATGGTTTAAAACAAGATGTTGCAACAGCCCAAGTGTCAACCCAATTAAAATGATGTAGTGCTATATTTTTTAAACAGATGCACAGTACAGCTTTTAGCAATGTTTTATTTTACAGTAGTCAAGTAATTGATTTTGGTTTTCTAAAATATCCAAGGAAGTACAGAATATCACTAGATGCATCTAATCAAATCAAAACCATGATTAAACAGACGTTGCCCTTGTTACATAACTGAATCCATTTTTACCATTTTGATCATGATCAAAAGGTTAAATGTGTAAGCATTACTTTTACTACACCCTTTGCAGTATGTCCATTATATAACTGTCAGATAGACCTTTGTTTAGTGTTTGAATATAAATGATCAATTCCTCACTAACCCAATCTGCTTGCTAAAGAACAGCTGCACCAGCCGTTATATCTTTGCATTTTACCACACCAAAACATGGTGTGAACTGAATATTGAGTATTCAGACCCTTTGCTCAGTATTTAGTAGAAGCACCCTTTTGATCTAATACAGACATGAGTCTTTTTGGGAAAGATGCAACAAGTTTCTCACGCCTGGATTTGGGGATCCTCTGCCATTCCCCCTTGCAGATCCTCTCCAGTTCTGTCAGGTTGGATGGTAAATGTTGGTGAACAGCCATTTTTAGGTCTCTCCAGAGATGCTCAATTGGATTCAAGTCGGGGCTCTGGGTGGGCCATTCAAGAATAGTCACAGAGTTGTTGTGAAGCCACTCCTTCGTTTTTTAGCTGTGTGCTTAGAGTCATTGACTGGTTAGAAGGTAAACCTTGGGCCCAGTCTGAGGTCCTGAGCACCCGGGAGAAGGTTTTTGTCCAGGATATTCCTGTACTTAGCAGCATTCATCTTTCAGTCGTCCTGTCCCTGCAGCTTTTTTTTTTTTTTTTTTTAGCAAACTCCATGCTGGCTTTCATGTGTCTTGCACTGAGGAGAGGCTTCCAGCGGGCCACTCTGCCATACAGCCCCAACTGGTGGAGGGCTGCAGCGATGGTTGACTTTTTACAACTTTCTCCCATCTCTCAACTGCATCTCTGGAACTCAGCCACGGTGATCTTTGGGTTCTTTTTTACCTCTCTCACCAAGGCTCTTGTTCCCCGATAGCTCAGTTTGGCCGGACGGCCAGCTCTATGAAGGGTTGTGGTCATTCCAAACATCTTCTGTTTAGAACTGAAACGTCTTCAAGCAACTTCAAGCAAAGAAGTTCAGACGCTTTTCTTTGCAAGCTTCTTTGACTACGATGACCTGGATGACTGAGAACCTTCACAGACATCTTCTGTTTAAAGATTATGGAGGCCCCTATAGTCTTAGGAACCTTAAGTGCAGCAGAATCTTTTTGTAACTTTAGGCAGCTCTGTGCCACAATTCTGTCTCTAAGCTCTTCAGGCAGTTCCTTTGACCTCATGATTCTCATTTTCTCTAATATGCATTATGAGCTGTAAGGTCTTATATAGACAGGTGTGTGGCTTTCCTAAGTTCAATCAGTATAATCAATCAAATGAAGGTGTAGAACCATCTCAAGGACGATCAGACAAAATGGACACACATGAGTTAAATGAATAAGTGTCACAGCAAAGGGACTGAATACTTTGGACCATGTGATATTTCAGTTTTTTCTTTTTTAATAAATCTGCAAAAATGTCAACAACTCTGTATTTATAATATTTCATTATTTCATTAATATATTTCAATATATTAGCTTCTTATCCCCAAACAGCCACCAAACATCTGCTTTACCAACAGTATGGGTTAAAAACCAGTGCACTTCACATGCATCAGTGTCAGTAACCCAAGTTCCAGCTTCCAGTAGCCCTTGTGAAGCAGGTGTAGTTTCCAGGATATGGTTCTACATCACGAGGGACCTGCAGGAAACAGATAGTGGTGAGTATGACAATTAGTATCATAAGTGATTGAAGAGTTTTGGAACAGCAGTAAAACATCTCAGAACTGATGGACTATTATTACTGTCCAGTTTAAAAGGCACCCTCCTAAGCAATTGGAGACTTTAAACTGTGGGGCTGTCCAAAACATTCAGTCTAGCCATACATTTTTGTCTGATCATCATGTGGCCATTGTAGCATTACTGCTTGGAGGTCCTGCACTAACCTCCATCTTTGTGATAGGGATGCTTTCTTTACAGGTCCAGGTGTATTACACATGGAATCTGGGCACTCTTTTACCCCTGCCTTCTTTAAATCTTCGATTTTAATCAGTTTTCCTTTTCGCTAATGACACATTAGGAGCTTCAAATCCTCTGTACTGGCCTTTTTCTTCAGGGCCTAATTTACAGGCCACCACTATGCTCCCTTCCAATATAAAGCTGTGAGGAATAAAGGGGCACTTTGGGTTTGAAGAAGTTTCTGCTCATAAGCTGCATCTGAGCCCAGGTTGTCTTTGTAATGCATGGTGCAGTGTATGCCTATTGTGTTTTGGATGTCTGTGTTGTGTCATGTCATGCAACTGAGGTGTCACACTGCCGGGGCCACTTGGTACTATGTCCAAACTATACCAGCACCTGGGTGTTTTTGCTGAGAAATGTACAAATGTATCTGTACCATTTTTGTTCATCCTGTCCACCTTCGTCCCATTAATCCAGTTAATACAGAGTTCACCTGAGCAACTGGTCCGTGGTCTGGTGGATTTTGTTGTCACTGTGAGATTTTTCCCTGTGTCTCAACTGGAGACAGTTGAGACACAGGGAAACATTTTTGGGAAACTGGAGACATTTTTATTTTATGGTTATTTATTATTATTATTATTATTATTGTTGTTGTTATTATTATTATTATTATTATTATTATTATTATTATTATTATTATTATTATTATTATTATTATTATTA